TGGGGCCTATTTGCTACACCGTTACACAATTACTACGCCTGCCATCACAGGACGGAGTGTCGTACCATGAGGAACTTGTTGAGTTCTTTGTAGCAGACATTGGTGACCATGACCTTATACTCAGAACAGACTGGCTTCATACGCATAACCCGGAGGTCGACTGGTCTAAATCACGCGTTGACATGACCCCCTGCCCACCGGACTGCACACTTGTCAACCCGCCTGTCACTCATCTCCGTACACTCCACCCGCCATTGTTAGGATGGCCCGTCTCTATCGAAGAGGTTGATGATGACGAGGACATTCACCTTCGTGCATGGCAGTGGGCTTTAGCACTATCCGCCAACTCCTCTCTTCTCATTGACACCAACGATGACGCACCTGAGCTCCTTTCTGTTCCGGTAGCACGTGGAAACCCGGTCATGGTAGAAAATGTCCTGGACACTGAGGACATATGCCTCCACCTGCAGCTGCGCACTCGTTCTCTGGACACAACTATTAGGGATGCCTCTAGGAGGGTGAAGGGCCCCTTGTGGCTGCTCAAGACATAAAGACAAGGTAGTGCATTGATGGAGGCAACCCTAGGTGGTAGGTACAGAGTGAAAAGCTGCAGAACAAGAGCCTGGGAGTGGGGGTTTATAAGGGAAATCAGAATGTAAACAAAGGTAAATAACAGAAAATGCCGAAAAATAATAGGGTCTGATGTGGTGAAACCATGACAACAACTCTGGATGAACTGCCAACAATTGATGAGGTATTGGCTGTGCCGTCTAAACCTGTGGTGTCATTCCAACTGGAGCAGAACTTTGAAGATGAGTTGGAGGATGTCGCTTCTATCTCTGTGTTGGTTGATTGGGTACTCAGAGGCCTACAGCTCACATAGATCGTCCCTGACATCGAGCATTGCACATTTAAGCCTGGCGATACCATCCTATTCATGACAGACTTCACTGAGGACCCCGAAGACAACAATGACCCAACCGTATACATCCGCATAGGCTTCACACTATCTCAAGAGCTGGCGGAGGAGCACACTGCCCAGGCTCCAGCCAAGTCCTTCGAAGAGCTTGTCCCGGAGCAGTACCGACTGTGGATTAAGGTGTTCGACAAGAAGGTCTCGGAGTGCCTACCAGAGCACGGCAGATACGACCACGCTATCGATGTCAGCAACGGCTAGGCGGCCGCTTACTAACGAAGGCAAGGGCGAGCGAGTTAACCAAGATAAGCGGCTAGGTAGCCGGTGTATAGACTAGATCAAGGTTAAGGGTAAGTTACAACTGAGAGTGCAGTCTTATATAGGTAAGGTGAGACAAACAGATGTAAACAAAGGGCAAGAACTAGGTGAGTCATTCGTGAGTCACGGGGATTGATGAGTCACGGGGATTGCTGAGTCACGTGAGAGTCCGGAAAAGGAAAATAAAAGGAAAAGAATAATGGATAATTGGGTGTCCGTAACAATCGACCTCAAACCAGAATTTGAGAAGTGTCTAGAGACCCATCCCATCAAAGCCAAGCTCTATCCCCAGCCTGGCAATGAGAAGGCAGCTATGGAGGTGTTCATCAAGGAGCATCGAGATCGTGGAACCATTTGCCTCTCGAAATCACCCATGGCAAGTCCATTCTCCTTCATAAAAATGAAAGACGGTACCTTGTGCCCTGTCCGGGACTATCGCATCCTCAACTCGGGCACCATCAAGAACACATATCCGCTCCCACTTATTGGTGACATTATTGACCGCCTCACTGGTGCCAAGGTCTTCCCCAAGATGGACGTCTGGTGGGGCTACAACAACATTCGGATGAAGGAGGGCAATGAGTGGAAGGCAGTGTTCAAGACAAGTTTGGGATTGTTTGAACCTTTCGTGATGCTCTTTGGCTTAATCAACTTGCCCGCCATGTTCCAGACTATGATGAATGAGGTCTTTAGGGACATGATCGACAAAGGCGTCATCAGCATCTACATGGACGACATTCTTGTGCACACAAAGGACATCACTCAGCATTAGAACGTTGTGCGACGCGTATTGCAACGGCTAGAAGAAAATGACTTGTACCTGAAGCCGGAGAAGTGCCAGTTTGAGCAGGACCAGGTTGAGTTCTTGGGACTTGTCGTTTCCCACAACCACCTCGCTATGGACCCAGTCAAGGTCACTGGCGTTATGGATTGGCCGCGTCCGCACAACATCAAGGAGGTTCAGTCATTCATCGGATTTGCCAACTTTTACCACCGCTTCATCACCGACTTTTCGTTCATTGCACGCTCTCTCTTTGAACTAACCAAGAAGACGGTTGCCTGGCGCTGGGAGGATGCGGAGCAAGAGGCCTTTGATAAGATGAAACATGCATTTACGTCGTCCCCTGTCCTCCTCATGCCAGACCCTACTAAGCCTTACTGAGTAGAATGTGACACGTCGGACTTTGCCATTGGCGCTGTGCTGTCACAACGCGGTGAGGACAATGACTGGCATCCAGTGGTGTACCTCTCCCATGCCCTCACCACCCTGGAACGCAACTACGATACCCACAACAAGGAACTGCTGGCCATCATCCGCGCGCTCGAGGATTGGCGCCATTACCTCGAGGGTTCCCCTCACCAAGTCGAGATCTTTACCGACCACAAGAACCTCAAGTACTTCACCACTGCGCAGAAGCTGAACAGACGCCAGGCTTGGTGGGCCCTATACCTATCCCGCTTTGATTTCATCCTCCGCCATCGCCCGGGCCAATACAACCATGCCGACCCCATGTCCCGCCATCTTGATCATTGCCTCGGCATCTCCGAGGACAACTCTAACCGTGTCCTGTTCCTAGCGGCCAAGGTGTCCATTAACGCCACTCAGCTGGTATCCCTGGACGATGTCAGGCAACAAATCCTGGACACGGACGTGAAGGACCAGGAGGTCATGGAAGCATTGTGCATCATCAAGGAGGAGGGACTGGCCGCATTGAAGCGCAAGCTTGTTGGTTGGAAACAGAAGGACAGTCTCCTGACATACAACAGCCGCCTCTACATCCCAGAGAACCAGGACCTGCGACACAACATTGTGCATCTCTGTCATGATACACTGGCCGTGGGCCATCCTGGATGCATGCGTACAATGGAACTCGTACAGAGGGACTTCTGGTGGCCCGGTATGTCAGTTTTCATCCACAAATACATTTGAGGCTGTGCCACTTGTCAGCGCATGAAGATCCGCAACTACCCGCCGGACATACCACTTCACCCAAATGAGATACCTACTTGCCCCTTCCAGATCATGACCGCCGATTTCATCACGGATCTCCCACCTTATCAAGGCTTTGGCTCAATTGCCGTATATGTGGACCGCGGGTACAAAATGGTCTATATTGCACTGACTACCAAGACCGTGGACAGTCTGGGATCCACATCCCTGTTTATGCGCTACGTCTTCCTTCATACTGGCCTCATGGGGCAACTCATCTCTAATTGTGGTAGCTAGTTCACTAGTGAAACCACTCGCACATTACTCACCAAACTTGGGGTCAAGTCATCACTCAGCACCTCCTACCACCCTCAGACGGATGGCCAAACAGAATACTTTAATCAAGAACTGGAACAATATCTGTGCGCGTTCTGCAACTTTTGCCAGGACGACTGGGTCAACTGGCTCCCACTTACCCAGTTTGCTCACAACTCTCAAGTTCAGGCGTCCACCGGCAAGTCACCATTTGAGCTGCTTTATGGCGTCACGCTGCTGTGGCGGGATCCCCTGGGCGCAGGTGGCGGGAACGAGGTCGCTCGGACGGGAGTGACATGCGGTAAGCGTGGGGAGGGTCTAGATATGAGGAGTAAGCCACTAACGAGTACACGTAGAGCGTACGGTTAGTATCCTGGTTGTGGGTAGCTTGGTAGATAGGTAACTCGATAGAGTAGAGGCCGAATATAAAGATGTCGGGCAAAGAGATCAAGACCGGGAAGGTCAGGAATACGCGCAACGGTGCGAATCAGGAGGTGTACAATATTCCTTTGTCAAGTGAGTTGGCAGTCGAGACGTCGTCTTAGGCCGACAATGCTAGACTTGGAGTTCACGCAAGACAGGAGGGGAAAAGAAGCCGGAAAATCTCATTTCGGAGTACAAGCATTTAAAAGAGCGAGAAAGCTCGCCTGCCTCCTGGCAGCGCCGAGCGGTACCGTACGAGAGACGCATGTATACAAAGCTTATCAGACAGCAAGAGAAAGAGGCCGTAGGGAAACCAGGGGCGAGTAGGCGTCCTTACGATGCCAGAGGCCTCATCTCGCTGGAGACTGTCTCAATCCAGCGTGTTTCAACCCGTCCTCATGCTCTGGCCCGCACAGAGCATACATGGGATTGCCAGGCCCATGCACGGCTACGAGGAGGGGGTTTGGCATGGGTTACAGCGAGGTAGAGGGTCCGGGCATCGCAGATCTGCCGGATAGTGGGTCCGAGATGGAGGAAGGGCCGAAATGTGTATAGTAAGGTCCGGGAAAGTCATAATTGGTGAAAGTGAGGATGGTAACAAGAGCCACAACCTTGATCCCTCGTCCCTCGTATCGCCGAAGGCGGGTGTGGCGAGCGCGGCGTGCAAGCGGTTAGCCTTGAAGGCACACCACGAGGCACTCGGCACCGAAGTACCGGCAAAGGGGTGCGGATGCGCGGTGCCGAGGCCTGGCAGAGAGGTTGTAGGGAGTGGTAGGGTACGCGTAGTAGCGAAAGTGCTGTCAACGTCAGTAGGAAGCAGGGTGGTGGTCAGAGACAAGGAAAACGAATTGTCGACGCGAGGTCTTGATGCGGTGGCGCGCGATAGGGGTTCTCGGCGCTAGCCAAGCTCACCCTAACTTGGGTGGTGCACACGAGTACGCTCGGGTGCACTACCACACTGCACGCTTACCCTCAGCTCAACCCCGCTGCATGCTTCCCACACCTCCGGGACTGGCTACGTCATCTCGAGTCCGTACGTGAGGAGGCCCAGGCTAGTCTGCGGATTGCTGCGGAACTCATGAAGGACCGCCATGGCATTCCTGAGGCCATCTACAAGCCATTTAAGGTTGGTGACAAGGTCTGGTTGGAGGGCAAGAATCTCAAGTCAGTACGGCCAAAGGCGAAACTTGATGCCAAGCGGCATGGGCCGTTCACTATCACAGAGGTCCTCGGCAACCCGGAGACCACCATCAACTTCCGTCTTGATATTTCTAAAACTTGGAAGCAGATTCACCCAGTCTTCCATGCTCAACTCCTCACCCTATACATAGAGATGCTAGAACACAGCCGCAACTACACGGAGGAACTGCCCGAGTTGGTCTGAGGAGGAGTACGTGGTGGAGGCCATCCTGAATGGCCAGGAGACCAGGAACAAGCACAGATTTGAATACCTCGTCAAGTGGGAGGGCTATCCGGACACGGCAAACCCATGGTGGCCGGTGTCGGCCCTCAAGAACGCGAAGGATGCTATAGCTGAGTACCATAAACGTCATCCTAAAGTGCCGCACCCAAAAAATTACCAGGGATCCTAGACAACATGCTCCGGGCGTAAGCATGTCTTAGAGAGGGAGCAATGCCATGGTTTGGCTGTCACGTGACTCAGCAATATCTTTATTCTTTTCCCTTTTCTTTTCTTTTCTGACTCGGTATCTCAGCATCTCGGCATTCCGGCACACAGATCCCGGACTCGCATGACTCACACTGTTCATGTATGACTCGGCCCGCTTACACACCCTTCCCTTGTCAGCGGGGCCCGGCTCGCTCAGTCATCCACCTGCTTGTCCGTCTTCATCATCCCGTTCTTGCACTGCCTTGACCTGTATATAAGACTCTTCCCCCGTGTACCTTAGCTCCTTTAGTTCATCTATCTTGCAATCCAGCCTGTTGATATTCTCCTCTGCTCCCTGTCTGTCTCTTGCACACTCCTGTGCTTGATAGCTGTCTGTCTGTGTGTCATCTTGCGCAGCTCAGAGGTCTCCACCAAGTGTGTCCCTAGCAAGGTTCCTCTTTGCCTGTGATTTTTGGTGGGACATTGGCCAGCGCAGAACATTTGGACCCATGATTTTTCTTCTTCTTGGACTTGGGCGGAGCGAGTGCAGACATGGGAGTGACAGCGGAAGCAGGCAAACCATTGAGTGACTGTGCGGAAGTGACATTCACAGCTGTGGGTGTGGCGTGCTTGGAAGGCGCGAGTTGTCCCAAACCCGGCAATACTGGAGGTGCCATGGCTTGCACAGTGTGCTTGCCACGTCCCGAGTTTTTCTGAATAAGTGCGGGTGCGGGTGTGAGTGCGGGTGTGGGCGAAGGCTCGGGCCCATCAGCCTGAGCCTGCTGGCGAGTTGTGGGAGGCATTACTATAGTTAGATACTTGTCAATTCTATTATAGCTATAGGAATGTATACACAAAACGAATTGAGTCTATAGTAGATCTATGTAGAGGAAGAGAGATGATGATAAAAAAAAGAGCGAAAGAAAATTGCATGACGCTAGCGGCGGCAAGGCCGAATTGTCACAGATGTGATAAAGCCAACGCAGCCAACACAGAAGCTGCATTTACTGAACTGGCTTCTCGGCCGACTGGCTTCAGGGCTCGTTGTCACAGAAGCGGGCTGCCGCCAGCTTTTGGCGATTTGGCTGTAGAAGTCCACAGAAGCCGGCACTGATTCTGCATCCGATCGGGCTCTTATCTTCTTGAAGACGGCAAGCGGCCCATAGAGCGGAGTGTAGTGTAGTGCAGTGATTGCCTCCCCTCCGAGTATGAGGGAGGTCTTGATCTGTTGACTTGGACACGGGTTGGGGTTCACATGGGACAAATTCAGCAATATCATTATTATTATCATTATGTGCGGGTGTGAATAAAGCGGTGGCCGGAGTATTGTCTGGCTCTGATACATGAGGAACAGGGGTGACGCCCTGCGATCTAAGTAACAGAGGTGAGGTAGATGCACGCGAGATGAGTGAGTTGAATAGTCCGTAGAACCAAGATGGGGCTTGAGGTGCCGTGTTTATGACGAGCCGCTGGAAAAACTCTGTTGCGATGCTTGAGCCGGAGGAGCAGCTGGTGCTCCTACTCTGCTCTGCACAAAGCGTGCTAACTCCACTTGGTGAGCCGGAGACAGCGAGGTGGCGAGGTCATCCACATTGGTGAAGGTCGTGGTGCGCGCTTAGTAGCCGGGGGGAAGGGAATCATATGATCCCGGTCGTACTTCTGCCGAATAACCTCCGTTGGTGTGTCACAGGTGCCAGGTGATTTCTGCCACACAGGTAGTACACAAAGGCCGCATTGGCTGCGTTGATGTCTATTGGAACTATGTCAGTGTTGGCCGCTGGTGCCGGCACACGTGGCTGCTGGGCTAGAGCACCCCAAGGGCGCTAGTTGCCATTGCGCAGCTGCTACTGGTTCACGTTTTGTGATGGCTGCTGCTGCTGCGAAACACCCGTGGACCGGCTGGTGTTGTTGTTCGCACCAGCGGACTGATGGTGCAAGGATGAGTTGCCTGTGGTCACCTACAACAACAGCTGTAGAGGCTGTGCAACCACGTCGGCCCATATTGGTACACAAAGCCAACCTGGTCTGCCATTTTCGGCCGTTTCCGAGGTCTGAAACTGGTCAACCATCAAAATACTCAACATTTATTCAATAAATTATTACTGCACAGACCTTAAGTCCACGCACACATATTCGGTCAGACTTTGATGGAGAATAAGATTTATTTATTTATTTTCATTCTGTCTTAAAGGTGCGATGATGGGGCAAGGGGTACAGCACGATATACAACTTCTATAGTAGTAGGATAGGGTGGGCTATATACTGTACATTTTAATACGAAGAGTACAAGGGCTACAGAAGGACGTGGAAAGGAAAGAAGGGGGTGTGGACGAGACACGCGGGAGGTAACCTTGTGAGGCGATGTTGTCTGCAGTTGTAAATCAACAACAACAGTATGAGTATTAGCACCTTTATAAAATGAGTCAGCACGGGCACAGAAAGCAAGAGCGGCCAGCGTACCTGGCAGCACGCGGTCGGCAAAGATGCCCACCACCATCCTTCTAGCGACGAGCATTGAGGTCAGGCAGCAGGCTGCATCCAAGATCCAGCGTCGGGCGCACAAGGGGATGACGACGGGAATGGCGGCGGGGGAGAAGAGCATGATAAAGGGGAAGGACAAGTGAACAAGAAACAACAAGTCGTGCAATGCGCGTTCTGAGTACTCGGCAAATGCCAATTAGCCCGCTGATCCCGAGCCTCTCTGATCTGACGCATCAGCCGCGAGAAGTTGTTTGACCTTTCTTGCTTCCCCTCTGTCATCTCCGCTGCTCTCCCGGCTGCCCGTCTTTGCGTCCTCACCCAGTGCTCCCCTCGCCTGCGTCACCTTCGCTGTCATTGTCGTCAGGCTTGAACGGCGGTATGTGCCCGTCTCCATCATTGTACAACTCGGCTGCCAAGCACTAATGCGCTGGCATTGGTCACGAGTCCTGTGCCTGGTTGTTAGGTATTTTATATCCTGGTAACTATGTGACACATCCCTCACGAGCATATTTACAGGTGTTATACATGGCTCGTCTCACTTGACACGTGCTCTGCAGCTGCCTGTGTGCTGGCTGGTAACCTCTTGATGAGTTGGGGCACGTCTCATCTTGTTGTAAGGTATGTTGTGTCAAATTCACTGTATAACGCGTAGCTTACGAGCGTCTCCACAGCCGTCGGCCACAACCTGTTCCTGCTCTGAGTATTGGGTACGTTGTTCTACCCCGTGCACTGTGAATTGTGGCTAACAAATTATCATGTAGTGCGTGGCTGGCTCGCTGGCACCGCATTTGCACCTGCGCCTGTCCAGTGCCTGTTATTCAACCACATGAGCAGTGCGACATCTTTCCTTGCTCTACGCCCCGCTGTTGTGGCTATAGGTACATTTCTGGCTTGTTCAGTATCAGGAGCTGTTACTAAATACATGTTAGGTCGACACAGTTGCTTAGCGAGTGTCGTTCTCACATGCTTGCAATGCCGCAGTGCTCGCACTCAGGCCTGTGATGCCATTCCGTGTGCATGCACTAGCAGTGTGGCGGTGGCGCTATGTTTTTCACAGAACTAGCGTGGGATATTGGGGATGGACGGATGTGGGGCGTGTGGCTCCAGACAGATTTGGACTAAGTCTCGTGACTCGTTATGGACTCGTGATTTGGCCTATGTATATGCTTGTTTATGCCTTATGCGATTCTCTTTGGACTTGTTCTTTTCTCGCATAGCCTCGGTTCATAGTTATTCCCTCGGCATAGCTTCCACCTATAGCGTAGCCTCCCTGCGGCAGTGCGGCATAGCTTTACAGTGTTCGGCAGT